CCGCCCGGAGCCGCCGCCGCCCCCCGCGCCCCCCGCGCCCCGCGCCCCGCTATGAAGCGGTGCCGCTCGGACGAGCTGCAGCAGCCCGAGGACGATCCCGCGGCGGAGCCGCCGCCCGGGCACGGCGGCATGGAGGGCAAGGCCGGGGAGGCGGCGGCGGCCAGCCCCGAGGCGGGCGCTGTCCCGCCGCAGCGCTCCAAGCCCCCCGACCTGAAGGTGAGCGGCGGGGACGTCCCGCTGGGACACGGGCTGGGGGGGAGGATCCCGATGGAGCATCCTATGGGATGCTGAGCGCCCCGCGGGGTCGCCCGTGCGATGCAGCTCGGGGGGTGCCGCCGTCCCCTCCCCACGGTGCCGACCCTGCCACAGGTGTGACCTTGGAGGGTACGGGATGGCTCCGGGACGGGGGCGATCCCGGGAGGAGAGTGCTTCAGGGATGGGGACGGTGCTGGGGTGGGGAGGATCCTGGGAATAGGGTGCTCCGGGGGTGGGGAGGGTCCTGGATGAGGATGATTCTGGGATGGGGATGCTCCTGTTATGGGGATGCTTCTGGATGGGGATGCTCCAGGGATGGGGAGGGTCCTGGAATGGGGAGGCTCCTGGAATGGGGATGGTCCAGGATGAGGATGCCCCTGGGATGGAGATGGTCGCAGGATTGGGATGCTCCTGGGATGAGGATACTCCTGGGATGAGGATGCTCCTAAATGAGGGTGCTCCTAAATGAGGATGCTCCAGGGATGGAGATGGACCCAGGATGGGGATGGTCCTGCGATGAGGATGCTCCTGGGATGAGGAGCTGGTGGGATGAGGGTGGTCCCAGGCAGGGGTAACAGGGCTGTGCCCCCGCAGAGAGCCCGGTACATCCCTGCCCGGTGCGGGGGGGACGCTCCGGGAGGATCCGGGGCTGCGGCACCGGGAAGTGACGGTGTAGAAATGGCCCCGAGGCTGCTCCTCCCGGGCCTTCGGGCTGGGTCCGGTCAGGGAGGAAAACAAGTTCCGCGGCACCGCAGCGCTTGCGGGAGGGAAGGAGGCGATCCCGAGGGAGGAAAGGAGGCGATCCCGAGGGAGGAAAGGAGGAGGATGGGGCGGTCCCGTGGGAAATCGGACGGAAAATTCCCGCGGGTTTGGAAGCAGGAGCAGCTCCAACCCCCCGGCTGTTCAACAGGGTCCCGCTGGCGAGGGCACAGTGGGGTTTCATCCTGCAGGGATGAATTCCCTGCAAGAAAACTCCTGGAATTGGGGGTTTCCAGGCGCTGCAGCGGCCGCGGGTTCGCTGTGGTGACACCGTGGTGGTCACACAGTGGTGGTCCAGAGGTGCTGCTTCCACTCCCCGGTTTCAAAAAGGCCTGGAAAAAGTGGGAGATGTCCCTTGGCACCCCTGGGCAGCCTGGGATGCAGGGTGGAGTCCCCTGCTGTGGACACCCCACCCGGCTGCTCGGCCTAGAAGGTCTCCCCAGTGTGGTCAAGGTCATGTGGAAGCCAAAAAGCAGGTCCAGGGCTGTCAGTGCCTACAGGCATACCTTCCAGACAGGCACCAGGGATTGAAACCCCGGTTCCTACAGGAGAAAACTCGGCTGCTTTAAGCACAAGAAGCCCTGTGGCTGCAGGATGTGACACACGAGGCCTTTCCCTCCATGTCCGAGCAGCAGCTCCTGCTCCCGAGGCTGTTTGGGCTCTGCTGTCGTGGGGTACAAAAAACGGCTGGAAGGGAGAGCCCCGAGCCAGGGCAAGGCACATCCATGGGCTGTGAGGGTGGGGAGGCCCTGGCACAGGTTGCCCGGAGAAGCTGTGGCGGCCCCTGGATCCCTGGAAGTGTCCAAGGC